GAGAGGGGGACTGAGATATGAATTCAGTGCCTTTACATGCTAAGCATGTTTTCTACCAATGACCTAGAAGCCTGACTCTTTCATATGTATGTGGTGCTAATGATGACAGCATTCTTGATTGCAAAATCCCTTACTAAATATTAAAAGTAGAAGCCTGATTCTTTTTCGTATGTATGTGTGCTGATGATGACAGCATTCTTGATTGCAAAATCCTTTACTAAATATTAAAAGACCATGCGAAAAAGCTTTCTTAATACTTTAGGTAGGTACAATTAAATTTTTTGACATAAAATGAGCTCTAAAAATGACTAAAAAAAACCTATATACTTCACATGGGTCCCCAAGTATTTACTCCAAATAAGATGTAAAATAAACAAAAAAACTTTAAACTACAACCTATGAGTTCAAGAGGGATAATATCCCAAATTATAAACCTCTAGTTAAATAATGTGCATTAATAAATTACATTAATTTTTGTATGGTGCTGGTGAATGAACCCAGGGCTTCTGTGTGCTAAACAAGCACTCCAACATTGATTCACACCCCTAGCTTAGCTTACTTACACTTACAGAAGAGCTTTTGAATATATCAACATGAAACCAAAGCAAAGTATCATTGAATGAAAAGGGAGGGAATCTATCAGCAAGTATGAAGGGATCTTGACAGATAGGTGGATAATGGCTGCCAGGAGGATTGAGAGGCAGACTCTGGTAACTCTTCTAGAATTCAGTGGACTAATTTTATGATGGGACTACTTATGCCTCCAGTCTTGTCCAGATCAAAAATGCTAGTTAGCATTATAGTATTAAATAAACTAATATAAAGCACTTCTAGAGTGGTGGGAATTTAGTTACATATTGAGATAAAAATCCACATCAAACGTAGTTACCATTTTTGTTCTCTCATAACAGCATTATATTATCACTCATGCTTAATGCTGACAAGAAAGACTGAAATGGGTGCCAGTTGCTCACACTACTCAGGAGTCTGAGATCAGAGGATGACGGTCCAAAGCCAGCCCAGGCAAGAAAGTCTGTAAGACTCTTATCCACTAGAAAACCGGAAGTGGCATTGTAGCTCAAGCAGTAGAGCACTCCTTGAGCTGAAGAGCACAGGAGATAGCGCCCAGGCCCAGAGTTCAAGCCCCACAACCAATGGAAGGAAGGAAGGAAGGAAGGAAGGAAGGAAGGAAGGAAGGAAAGAAAGAAGGAAGGTTGGTTCACATTCAGACAGGGAATAAAGTTGTGGTTAACAAACAGAAGACAGGAGCAATTCTCCTATATTCCCACCCATCTTTATACATGATTTATTTTTTATTTTTTGGGTCCGGTCATGGGGCCTGAACTCTGGGCCTAGGCGCTGTCCCTCAGCTCTTCAGCTCAAGGCTAGCGCTCTACCACTTGAGCCACAGAGCCACTTCTGGCTTTTTTCTTTTTGCTCATGTGGTGCTGAGGAATCAAACCCAGGGCCTCAGGCATGCAAGGCAAGCGCTCTACCACTGAGCTACCTTCCCAGCCCCAATATACATGATTTCTTTATAAAAGTATGTCTCTTATATTACTTCTTCTAAATGGTCAATATATGATTTACCAGAAACTTGCTATTTAAGCCTTATGTGGTATTTTCTTACTAAAATAACATTTAAAGTAACATAACATCAAACTGATAAAATGTCTTTCTAGTTGAGAGTCTCTGAAAACAAGTATTAAAATTCCAGAACTGAAAGATCCAAGTTCAACTAGGTAAGAAGTAGGGGTCCCTGACCCTACTAAAACCTGACCCAGAAGCAGGATATACAAAAACAAAGAATACCCTCCTACCACACACGCACACACGTACACACACACATACACACACACTGCTTTTCTGCCCTGTACTTTCCAATCCAAACAAAACTAGAAAACTAAATAAATTTCTTTTTATTTTACAGATGAGGAACTGCTAACCCACAGAGCCCACTCAACACTACATGAATATCTAGAGCTCAAACTTCCAATATCTAATTGCATTGACTAGCACATTCTGTTTATAGTTATTTCTCAAGAGAATGCTAATTCAGGCTGAGAATGTGGCTTAGTGGTAGAGTGCACTTGCCTAGCATGCATGAAGCCCTGGATTCAATTCCTCAGTACCACAGAAACAGAAAAAGCTGAAAGTGGCGCTGTTGCTCAAGTGGTACAGTGCTAGTCTTGAGCAAAAGAAGCTCAGGGACAGTGTCCAGGTCCTAAATTCAAGCCCCAGGACTGGCAAAAAAAAAAAGTTGGGGGGGAGGATGCTAATTCAAGTGGCAAAAATAGGGTTACAACAGAACTTTCTAGATGTAAACTCACAATTTGCAAAGATTTATGCCATCCTTTCAACTTTGCTCTTTATACTGAAGGCTAGGCTTCTATTTCAGATCCCTAAATTACACAGGAAAACCCTGATTAGGCAAGTGGGCTATATAGGTTAGGTAATTTTGTTTTAGAATATACCTAAATACCTTAAAGCAAATCCTACAAACAGAGGTTGGGGGGGAGGGGCGTTTGACAGGAAGGAGGATGTATGTAGGAAATTAATCTGGTATTTTTAATTTTTTTGCTGGCTTGAACCATGATCCTAAGATTTCAGCCTCCTGAGTAGTTTAGCATGACCCACCAGTGCCTGGGTAATTTTTTGTAAGTAGTGTCAACACTTCTAAACCAATGACTAACAATACAGACTACTTTAAACTAGTCAACACTAAACTGCCAACTTTGTCCATTATTTTCAAGTAAATATTTATTAGGTATATATTATGAACTAGTGATGCAGAAATAGTAAGGAACAAATTAGAAAGTTGGGGAAATGTTGACACTCAAACAACAATGTTTATGTAATTCTGCCTTTTATGCTATTGAGTTGGAAAACTGTCCTTTCAGTCACTTTGAAACCAATGAGCTACCTTTGTTTCTATATAACTTACCAAACCACTTCTAAAACAAATGCACTTTCTTCACTCATCCAATTACCACATTCTGCTTTAGAAACCACTCCCAGAAGCCACTCTTCTTGGATGACCTCCCCAACCAGTTCCCCAAGCTTTCTTCTTCCCTACAGCCAGATCCTGAAATCCCATCTTCTCTTCTAGGAAGACTTAATCTGAAAGACAGATTATCTCCTTAATGTCACCCAGAGAGTTTATAACTACCTTAACTCTCAGCACTTAACCATCTTATAATAGGCACCTACTAGTGTGCTCACAAGTTAATTTCATTTATTCATGTGTTTATTTAGTATATTACTCATGGCCCTTACTGTCTGCTTTATCCTTAAATATAAACTACCAGATAAAAGAGCATGTACTTGAGTGTAGCTCTGAAAACAGATGTTTAGAAAAATTTCCCCAAATATATTAAATTCTACCCCAATTTATGAAATCTAATAAATCTCCCAACACAAATCAATCTCCCAAAACATGATGCTAAGTGAAAGGTATCAGACACAAATACCCTCATACTGTATGAGTGTATTTTTTACACCTGTAAAAAATGCTAGGGAAAACTATACTGATGGAAAGCAACCAAGCAGCAGCCAGGGCTCTGATTTCTCTGTTCTTTTTTTAAGGGAAAATATTACAAACTTCAAATGTGGATCATCTTGATTTTCACATTAATTTTTACCACAGAAGATAAATGTAGAATTTTCTTCCACAGAAGTTATTGCTTATAATCATTTACTTCCCCATTTCATTTCTCCATTAAAAATGAAGGTCATATTGGACTGTTTTCATATATGTTATTTTGGTTGTTTCCAAGCTTGAATTCCTCTAGCACTTCAAGTTTTTAAAAATAGAAATTGGAATAGAAAAAGAGAAAACTATATATCATTCCATTTAATTCATAACTATTCTGAGTCATTCTGTAAATGTTATTTTTGAGTACTGCTAGAAAGCAGCTGGGTTTTAAACTGTATTTTAGGTTCTATTCTAGAAAAAGATTCTTTAATCTCAAAAGCCAAAAACCTACTCTAAAGCTCACTAGAATAAAATTAACCATTTGAAAGAACAGTCTTTTCATCTGGCCTTTTTTTAAAAAAATCCTTTATTTCCTAATGAGTTTTGGTATTCACCAAATCTCATTTTTTCAAAAGGCCATAATTTCCTCAAACTTTTACTCATGGATCAACAGGTCAAAATTACTTAATCAAACTGTGGTTAAGCGCTTTCCTTTAATACAGCTGATAAGAAACTTTCAACAGTTGGTCTTGCTCAAACTACCTTTGCCATTAACCATAGCAATTTAATATGAACTGAATGTATCCAACATTACCATTTAGGAAGAGAAGAATATGAAGAATCTGACACTATTCTAGTTAAACTATTTGTCACATCTGCTACAAGAGATCATCAACATGTCATTATGCCATCTCCTTCCTTGAACCCCACAGCTTTATTTTTGTCTTTTCAAAGAGTTAATCCATTTGGGTTTTCTAAAACAGAATTAAGGAAGGCCCACTTGTGAACCCACGCTGAGAAAAAGGGCAGGAACATGGGATTGAGTCACGTCGTTCCGCCATTTTCTAAGCGGAGGAGGAAGACATGTTGGAACAAAAACACAACAAAAGAGCAGCCATTTCCCAAGCCAGCTCCAATAGCAACCCAAACTGGCTGAGCCCCGTCACTTTGGCACCTTCAAATCCACTTCAATGGACAAACCTCAAACAGCAGGGGTGCTACCCTATAGAAAGCAGCGGTCAGCCTTTCCTCTAGGGATCAAAGATGTCCTGCTTATTTAACTTCAAACGAAAGCTCGGGGAAGAGGAGACAAAATGACGGGAGTTAAAATGGGGTTGAGTGTAGCAAACTCGTATTTCCTCAATGATCATCGTGACTTAACAGTTCACTGGAAACTACAGCCTGTAGTGAACCCAGGTAACTCAATAGCAAGACCAGGATTTTGGCTGGTCCCATTAACTACCTTTACCCCATTTCCCATTTCACACTAGCCCCAGTGGATCGCCTGGGGGTTATGGGTTCTTACCGTATGTGGGGGATGCCAACCCCACCTTGAAGAATCTTATAGAGTTTGCTCTCGTACAGCAACTGGGGATGCCTGGCCTTCTGAGATTCTAGCTTCACTGCCACTTCCTGCAGGGAAAGAGGGATGATGGCATCAACATCCCAATGGACTCAATGTCACTTGGGAGAGCAGAGAAGACATTAGGCGAAGCTCGCAAACGAGACTTACGAGGAGGAAGTGAAAGCTCCCTTTGTAATTACAAATGCGGCAACTAAGCCCCAAAGGCCGCTTCGGAGGATCAATGACGAAACTGGCCCGTCCTCCGAAACGCGCGGATCAAAGAGGCAGCAGCCTCGAACGCACGTCGGTCAGCGGGGGCTCTGAAGGACCCTACGCGATCGGACGCGGTCCGGCCGCGCGATCGAGATGCCAAAAATGCCGAGAAGGACGGGGAGCTCCCGCGCGTGTACACACTTCGCCCTCAATAACGGTCTGAAAGGCTCAGAGAGCTGCTTTCTCAGGCTAGGAAACTCCACATTCCACCCAGCCCTTCTGGTTGGTGCCTTCCTTTTTAGGGAACAGAGAGCGGGGGAGGCGGCCAGGCCCGACGGACGGCCGGCTCTCTCCGGAGGGCCCGGTGCGTGCGTGCCGGGGACCGGGGCCCGCCGTGGGGTGAGGGGGTGCTGCCGGGGAGGGGGCCCCGCCGTGGGGG